TGAAATTTTTTGTATAATATGATGTTATGGGGTAGAACTGGATAAGTCTGACTTCTTCCTACTCCATTCAAACATGTACTAGGTGTAAGCAAACTGATTTTGGATTAGCATTGGTTGGATATGGGTAATTATGTGTGTGTGTGTGTGTGTGTGTGTGTTGCTGTCATTTGTTTTGTTCTGCATGTTTGAAAGAATAAATCAAATCAAATCAAAATCAAATCATTAAAGAGACAGTTATTCACTTATCCTCATCTGGCAATATAATTGAGTTCACCCTCGATATTATCGGCAGCTTCATACTCTGATCCTGACACCCTTACTGTTGTGTATGTGTGTGTCCTTTTCTAATCTAGAATACTTCCATACCCATGACTTGTTTCTGATGGGAGAGTTTCCCCTATCTGTGTAGGCCAATTCTCATAGAAAGCATTTTGTGGTTTACCCCTCTCATGCAACATGTGTTAATCCACATTCACTCAGAAACATGTGTGTGAGACACACACATCACCCCTGGTGCTCTTAATACTATATAATAATACTAATACTATATAGTCCCCACAGACCATTTGTCCAGACACTGTCTTGCAACAGATGAGCAACTGTTCTGACAACATTGACAGTGCACAGAGGCTGGAGTCCATGGACTGAAACGATCAAATGATTCAGTAGCTTATGTGCTGCTCATGTCTCACTTCTTGTATGAATTCATACTTTCAGAATGCTAGCTGCATTACTCCTCCTCCTCCTCCTTCTTCTTCTTCTTCTTCTTCTTCTTCTTCTTCTTGCTTTAATTGAGCTCCACAGTCTGGCACTTGTTGTCCAGTATGAAAAGAACAGTGCTTCACTGGAAATGTGTACATACATATGTGGCTGGCTGTAAAAATAAAAGCACACAAAACATCAATGTTTACATATTGCATCAATGTTATCAAATCACAGGGTTTTTAATCAATGTATCCATCCAACTAAATTGATTAACATTTACAGCCCCACCTATGATCCCAAAGAACGTCCAAGTCTGTGTCACCTCTGCTCCTGTCTCTGAGTACTTTGTTGCCCCCAGGGAGTTTGCAGACACTACCTGCATTCCTGTTCCTGAGTGGGTGAGGCCCTACATCTGATTTTGTTCCCGAGTGGGTAGGTAAGGACACTGATGCCACCTTCATTCTGTCAGTGAAGCTGTAAATATGGGTCCCGGAAAGAACCAGGAAAACGCAGGCAGGCGAGTAGACAGGTGAACAGCAGGAACCAGAGGATAGGGCAGGTGAGCCAAGTAGCGATCACCGCCAGGGCAAGCAGGATAGCGATCGCCGTCAGTTAATCACGGCAGGGAGGATCAGTGTCAGGTAACCAGAGTAACAGTGGCCATCGGGTAAGCAGAGTAGATTGCCAGAGATAATCACGGCAGGGAAGATCGCCAACCTGTGGATGCATCAAACATAAAAACTTGATCTCACCGTAAATGTCACCATTAGCATCGTTATCTTAACATCACCATATCAGTGTCAATGATCTGGCGACGAAGGAGTGTCTGCCAGGGCTTTATGTAGAGATGGTTGGTAATTCGGGGGATGTGCTTCACCTAGGCACCACGCCAGGGAGTGAATTAGCAGGTGAATGCGTCTCAGCTGTGTCGCTGAGCCTGCGGGATGAGAGAGCGGGAGAGAGAAAGGGGAAGACAGACAGGTCATGCCAAGTGGACCTGACAAAGATGATTTATGTGTGTTTGTTTGAGATAATCAGAGGTGGGACCAAGTCATTGTTTTGCAAGTCATAAGTCAGTCTCAAGTCGTTGTCTCCAAGTCCCAAGTCAAGTCCCAAGTCAAGACTGGCAAGTCCCAAGTCGAGTCCAAAGTCAAGACTGGCGAGTCCCAAGTCGAGTCCAAAGTCCTAAACTTTGAATTTCGAGTCCTTTTAACCACAGGGTAATAATATGACAGATCATGTATACATCTAAATTCTGCATTTATTTATCAAAAGACATTTGATGAAACAAACAAAACTTACAAAA